TCCCTGCCACCCGCTGCCTCCCCTAAATGGCTGCTCTTCATCTTGGAGGTCAGACACTCGATGAGAATGATTTCACATGATGGGGAGCATCACGATTAAACTCTCACCCGGAATCCAAACACATGGGCTGCAGATGTCAATGAAGAATAAGGGCAGGAAGTTAGGCATATTCCTCTACCACCGCTTCTCCCACTTCACCCTCATTATCCCCGGAGCTGGGTCAAAGTGAGTGCCTTTTGGGACATTTTATCATGTTGAAGGCACTACGTAAATGGAATACATTGTTGTTGCTGTTTGTTATGTAAAGTTAATTTATTTATTAATTGTATTGAATTGCATTACAATCACGTTAAATATATAATACAAAAAAAAGGTAAAATAGCTTACTGATCATCTAACAAAATAATGCTTGTGGGAGTCACTAGTTGAACCAGCATTTCTTACCTATTTGAATTGATTTGCTGGGGCCTTTAAAGCCAACACATTGCTGTGGGTCTGGAATTTCCTTCCTCAAGGACATTAGTGAACCAGATGGGTTTTTTAAAAACAAGAATGGATAGGTTACATAATCACCACCAGGCTGGCTTTCAATGTCGGATTGACTCATACTTTACCATCTGCCATGGTGGGATTTGAACCTATAATTCCACAGCAATAAGTAGGGCTCAGGATTAATGGCCTACTGACAATACCACTACACCACTACCTCTTTTTCAGAGCAATACAGTTATCAGAATACAGCAATCATTGGAGTTTGTTCACTGTACAGATTATATATGGCACTGGGCTACTCAGTTCTTGTCATTTTGCATCTTGATTCAGTTACTTGTCCTGAGTTCCATAGCTCGTAGTCATTGTGAGATCCATCTGTCAGTAACAAGGATTGAAATTTAGAGTTAGGCAGTGATCTTGCCAAAGAATAGCAGAGCTGCTCATCTCTGTTCTCAAGCTCTGGTGTTGCCAACACAATTCAGAACAGAGACTGCAACAAGCACGAAAGGAATTAACCTGCAACTTTCTGGATCTAGAGAGAGGAGGATTTTCTGGCCCCAGATTGAACCCTAACTTGGCAGCACCAAGTCCCCACCAGCCAAGTCTAGGAAAGTGGTGCTTTAAATGTTAGGGAGATGTTTATTGTTTAATGTAAGAAAGAGGAGCAGGAGGAGGTGTGTCAGACTTCAAGCATACTCCAACTTTCAGTAAGATCACAATTGATCTTCTATCTTGCCACCATTTCTCTGCATTTTCCTTCATTCTTTTAGTAAGCAAAGACTAGTGATCTCAGCCTTGAATATACTTAATGAGCTCTCTGTGAGCTTTCAAAGGATCACAATGCTCTGAGTGAAGAAATTTCTCAAATCTCAGCTTTGAAAAACTTCAAGGAGCAAATTACCACAGATGCTGGAATCAATACTGAAAACAAAAAATGCTGGAAATCACAGCGGGTCAGGCGGCATCCGTAGAGAGAGAGTTGCTAATGTTTCGAGTCTAGACGACTCTTCATCAGAGCTTTTAGCTCTACATTCTCCAACCAGGGCAAACTACCTCTCAGCATTGGCCCTTTATATTTCAACATAATCACCACTCATTCTTCTAAACTCCAGAGAATACAGGCCTATTCAATCCAATCTCTCCTTAAAAGTCAGGAGTCATTCTGGTGAACCTTCATTCCATCCCCTCTATAAATGGCTTGTTATTTGGTCTGTAAGTTTTAATTCTGCTCAAGGAATCAATTTTGTAGCCATTTCCAGGAAGCTATCATTTTTAACACCTAATTGCTTACTGCCATTCAATATTTTAATTTATACAAATATACAACTTAATTTTTTGAAATTTATTGCTGAAACTGAAGGTGTGTCCTCACAAACAGTAGGACACCAGATTCAAAGCTGTATTTTACGACTGTCTTGTAACATACATCCACTTACACATGTAGATAGTGGCCAATACAAGCAGCTATGTCTGCAAATACTATCAACTGCATTATAATGGAGTTCTCCAGACCTTTGCTCTCTCTCCCACCAGAGAGGAACAATGTTTCCTGTTCTTAAGTATACAGTCACATCTCCTTGGCAAAAGATGATGACTGCTGTGATAATGGACTTTACTATTATATCTGTCAGCTCTGAACTCACCCCAGGCCTTAAAGAAGCTGCTTCCCAAAGTTCAATCACCAGTGTCACATTCTTTAACTGGATCGGTTCTTTGTCAGCATACAAACATTTATGTCTTTAAAAATTTCTTGAAAGATTAACGTTAGCTTGCGAAAGACAATCCACAGTCAGATGATTCCCTCCAACATTCACACGGGATGACACTAACACTACAAAGCTGCTCATCTTCATTACTGTTTGCTGTTCAGGAACATCCTACTTCACCCATCTTTCTTGCATCAGTGTAATTGTATCTGAAGCTGTTCCTTCGGCACTGTGATACTTAAATAGTAACACTCCTGACTTGGCTCGAACTCACAGAATCATGGAGCCTCACAGCGCAGAAGAAGCCCATCAAATTTGGAAATTTACAGAATGGAAGGAGGCTATTTGGCCCACCATTTAAATGCTGGTCAACAAGCAGCTATCAAGCTTATTCCCACTCTGCTGTTCTCAGTCCTTCAGGTACATGGCTAAGTATTGTTTAAAAACAATGAAGGATTCTGCCTCTACCATCCTTTTAGGCGGTGAATTCCAAATGCCCCACCACCCTCTGGGTGAAACGAATTGTCCTCAAACCCCCTCTAAACCTCCTGTCTCTTACCCTGATGTATGCCCTGGTCATGCATCCCCCAACTATAGAGAACAGGGCCTTCCTATCCATTCTATCCAAGCACACTCATAACTTTATACACCTCAATTCAACCCCTCCTCAACCTCCTCTGTTCTAAAGAAAATGACCCCAGCTTCTTCAAGCTTTCCTCACATCTAAAATACTCCAACACATGCAAATTTCTCAGAAATTTCCTCTCTCTAGTGCAGTTATATAATTCCTATTCTGTGGTAAAGAAAACAGTACACGGTGCTCCAGCTGTGGCTCCCTTGTGGCTTACACAGTTCCAGTAGAATTATCCTGGCTCTTATATTCTCCAACATAAGAGGTAGTAAAGTATCATGTATGCCAACTCGACCATCTTGTCTACCCACACTGCCACTCTGTGATCTGTTAGCATACACTCCGAAATGTCCCTGGTTCTCTGCTTCCTACCCAGGGATTTGTGTACTGCCATGATAGCCTTGCTTGAATGCTCTGGATTAAACTGCATTCGCCACTGTTTTCCCAGACAATAACCCCATTGATACTCTCCTGCAAAGAACATCATCTGCTCTGATTGCCTCTCTCGCCTGCACAATTCCCATAGCCCTGCAATGCTGCCCTTTAGAAAATAACTATCGAACCATCTCTGACTACCATTTCAGTCAGTACATTCCAGGATGCTTTCAAAAACACTTTGTCTTCTCCCATGTTCTTCAATCATAAGATATATCTATTAACGACAAATTACATAACCACAAAATCCTGCGCTGTGGTGTCAGCCTGGATCCTGAAGGACTGAACTTTCAGCTGGAGGTGTGGAATGGATGGGGATGCTCTGATTGGAGAGCCATATTGCTACAGGATTACAGAACAGCTGATAGCATGATGTGCCGTCAACAGTCATATGGGAAACCTGGGTGAGGTACAAGGTGACTCCCAAACTACTTTCAGCCCTAACCGGGAATAAAAACCTCCAAACCTTCTACGATATTATAGATAGTGGCAGACAGAACAAAGGAAGCAACCTTGGGTTGGGAGATAGTGGTGTGTTGGAAATTCGATGACACAGGTAATCCAGAGACCCAGGCACAATGCTATGGGGATGTGGATTCAAATCCCACAGGTGACCTGCCAATTCAGAATATCAAATTTGGAATATGGAGCAATGTATCAGCAATAGTAACTATGAAAGTAACATGCTCATCTGGTTGATTACTGCCCTTTAGGGGAAGGAAATCAGCCATCCTTACCTGGTCTGGCTTACAAGGCAACGTGCTTGACTCTTAACTATCCTCTGAAATAGCATGGCAGGGCAATTAGGGCTGGGCAGCATATAACTGCTTTGCCAGTGACATCCAAACCCCATGAAAGAATAAGCAGTTTGCAAAAGAGCAGGGTCAGTAGCCAGAGAACAAGAGATTTCAGATCTTTGTCAAACCTCCCCAGGGAGTGGTGTGGCTTTGTGTTGACAACACAGGAAGCTGCTGTCTTCTGGAATGCACTGCCCGAAAGGGGTGTGGAAGCACATACAACGGTAACTTTCAGATTAAACCAAACTGGATCCAGATTGGAAAAGGGGAGATGATACGGCAAAGGGGACAGGAGCATGGAGCATGCGATGGACCGAGCGGCTTGCTGCTGCTGCCGCCCTCATTTTCAGAGATTAGCCCCAACCCTGGTGCTCCACCATTTACCTACACGGCAGCATCTTCTTGCCAGAAATAAAACAAAAGCCTTCGGGAAGCAGAATGTCCTGCCCCGACAGTACCACCATCCTCCATCCATTCTCACGCTCGCAAGAGACGCCTCCAAATTTCCCTTCCATTCAGAAACCAAATACATAAGCACAAGGGTCCACATGCTCTCCCATTTCAACGACAGCAAGTTCATGGCGAGCAGGGAAGAGGACCCCCCCATCCCCCCAACACCTAAACAGCCAGTCAGCGAAGACCATCTGTTAGCAAAACAAACTCACAGTCCACACATTTACACACCAGATCTCCCTGCGCTTTTGCAGTGTATAAATCCCCTCCCACCCCCTCCAACCCTGAGAATCACTGCCTGGAAATACAGGCTTTGCTACATTCTGGGACTTACGCACAACCTTGCCAAACAGTCAAGGGGGAGGGGACGGCTCTTTGTAAAGGCTTGAAAAACAAATAAAATGCATATAAATTATTTGAAAATAAAATTATTGTCAGCTGCACTCTACAAATCAAGTCCCCGCTTCTTCCTTCCCGTGTTCTTACCTCGAACAGTTGAGGTATCTCCTTTTTGGAAAGGTAATCTTTGGCATTGCCGGAGTTCATCTCGCAAGCTGAAGCCGAGTGCATGAGTCCTGTCACTGACCACGGGTCAGGGTTACTGTTCAAGCTGCCCTTGTCTTGCATCCAGCTTTATCCGGAGTCACAACGCTGAAGTCTCCAATGTTTTGGCAGGAAAGCCTGTTGTATATGTTAAAATAAACCTCTGTCTGTCTCCTTTACACAAGGGAACAAATCTTCAGATCAGCTGTCAAAACACACATCGTTGCAATCCCGATAATCTTTGTGTTTGCATCAGCTTCGACAATCCTGTAAGTTTTATCACCCTCAGCTCTCTCTCTCGCTCTGCGAGTCTTACTCAATCTATTGCTGCTAGTTTACCTGTCTTTTTCTCTCTGTTTTGTTCCCAATCCCCTTCCTTCTACAAGTACCACTAGGAGTAAAAGGGACGCGCAGACGCCTTCATATTAAGCCTGTTACTGTCTTGATGCCTGATGCAGCTGAGTGAATGAGAGACGCCTTGTGCTCACTGTGTGTATGTATCTCTCACTCGCTCCTTTCTCTATGCAGGGTCCAAGCGCCCGCCTCATTCCTGTCCAACCTGAAATCACAGTCCTTCATTAGCATAGGCGATATTTGTAAACATCGAAGACTTACACTTCCAAACCAAGGATAATTTAAATCTGACCTTCTGCACCAACCGACTGGAATCAGCTTGATTCCCCAGGCGCTGAATTCCACTTGAGTTCAAGCAAATGAATTTTGGAATCATGAGTATTATGCTTGCATAGAAAGAGGTCGTTCAGCCCATTGAATGCGTGCTGGCTGTCTGCAACAGCAGCTCAGCTGATCCCACTGTCCTGTTACTTTCCATAACTCTGCATATTTTTCATCGGATAATTATTCCATACCCTCTTGAGAGCCATGATAGAATCTGTCTCTGCCACGCTCTCAGCCTGCTAGATACTAACCCCTCGCTGCGTGAAAAAGGGTTTCCTCACGTCGCCCTTAGTTCCCTGGCCAATCAAGGAAATTGGTGTCCTCTGCTTCTCAAACCTTCCACCAGTGAGAACACTTACTCCCTTTGCACTTCTTTAAAACAAAACAGTATTTCAGGTTCGACAGCCCCTAGTGGGACACTGTAACAAAAACCACATCAGACTGGTCACCAGGGAAACTTACAAATCTGGAACTGAAACTTATTGAAGTCGAGTCAAATAAAAATTACCTGAGATGATGGCACACCCAGCCCACTGGTCATAGAGTGATAGAGATGTAAAGATTTAAAATATACATGTTTGACATTTGCAAATTTTGCCCAGAACAGTGAAGGACAGTGATTTCAGTTTGGACAGGAATAAGGCAGGCATGGAAATGGACCCTTTGGTACAACTCATTCAAGCCAACCAGATATCTTAAATTAATCTAGTCCCATTTGCCAACATGTGGCACGTATCCCTCTGAATCCTTCCTATTCATATACCCATCCAGGTGCCTTTTAAACGTTGTAATTGTACCAGACCCCACCACCTCCTCTGGCAGCTCATTCTGTACACGCACCACTCGCTGCTCGAAAAAGTTACCCCTTAGGCCCCTCAAAAAACACTGCATGCTCTATCACAATGGACTCCAGAGTGCAAATGTAACTATTTTGTTAAACCACCCTCTTCAGATATGTCACCTATGGGATTTGAACCTGGACCTTCTAGTCTAGAGATAGGGACAACCCCACAGCATCACAAGACACATTCTCCCTCTCTGTCCAGACTCCACATAATTTTGAACCCCTGATCAAACCTCTTCTCAATCTTCTCCTCCCCAAGAAGTACAGAACCGACTTTGCCAGTCTGTCCATTTCACTGAAGTCTTTTATCCCTGGACCCATTTTCTTGAAACTTTTCTGCAGCATCTCTAATTAGTTCACACCCTTCCTAAATTGTGGTGCCCAGCATTGAACACAATATCCCAGCTGAAGCCATACAAGTGTTTTCTCAAAGTTTTTCAAGACCTTCTTGCATTCGTACTCATCTCTAATAGTAAAACCCAAGATTCCATATTCTTTAATAGCCACATTTCCAACGTGCCCTACCACCTTCATCGATTTGTACACATATCCACCCAGGTCCTTCTAGTCCTCCAGTCCCATTTAAAATTTGTATCCTTTACTTTATTTTGCCTTTCCTCACTCTTGCTAACAAAATTTATCAGTTCACACTTCTCCAAGTTAAATCTCATCTGCAACATGTCTGCTCATCCCAATAGACTGGTAATGTCCTAGTGAAGTCCATCGCTATTTTCACAGTTCACAATATGAACTGATGTACAATACATACAATTTATGTCCAAACTCCATGTCAAACGGAGATAGTGGATGCACTGGTGATCATCTTTCAAAATGGTATCGAATATAATAATTCAACCCAGCAGCTTGGAAGACTGCAAATATAACCCCAATGGTTAAGAGAGAAAATGAGGAACTATAAAACTCTTAGTCTGATGTCAATAGCAGGAAAAATACTATCCATACTTAAGGTTGCAATTTCTCAATGTTTAGAAATTGCCTGCAGAGTTAACACAGGGTAAATCATTTTGATAAACCTGATGGAGTTTCTTTTGGAAGATGTTACAAGCAGAATCAATAAGGGGAAACTAGGGGATGTGGTGTATTTGGATTTTCAGAAGACTTTTGACAAAGATCCCAAAGGAAGTTAGCAAATATAATTAAAGCAAATGGAATTAAGGGTAATATATTAGCATGGACTGTGGATTGTATAACAGGCAGAAAGCAGAAACTGAGTCATTTTCAGGTGGATGAGCTGTGAGCATTGGGGTACTGCAGCTGTTCACAAACTATATCAATGATTTGGATGTGGGGACTCATATTAACTTTCAAGTTTGCAGATGATACAAAAGTTGACAGGAATGTGAGTTATGATGAGGCTGCAAAGAGATGCCAAGGTGATTTAAAGAGGCTGAGTGAATGGGTAAGAGAGTAGCCAATTGAGTATTATGTGGATCAGTGTGAGGTTATCCACACTGGTAGGAGGAATAAAGATGCAAAGTATTTCTTAAATGGAGATAGAGTTGGAAAGCGCTGATGTCCAAAGGGACTGTGGTGTGCTCGTTCGTAAGTTAGTAACATGAAGCTCCAGCAAACATCGCAGAAGGTGAACAGTATGTTTGCCTTTATTGCAGGAGGGCTTGAGTACAGGTGCATAGGCATTTCACTTCAAGTGTGTGGAATGCTGGTGAGACTGTACCGGAGTACTGTGCAGAGCTGTGGTCGCCTTGCTGAAGGAAGGATATACTTGCCATAGAGGGAGTGCAGTCAGGGCTCACCAGACTCATTCCTCAGGGGGACGGATTGAGGATCCTGGCCTTTATTCACTGGAATTTAGAAAAACGAAAGGCAGTCTCATATAAAATTCTTAAAGGGTTTGATGAAGCAGATGCAGAAGGGATGTTTCTCCTGGCAATGGCACCTATAACCAAGGAGCGATCACACAGTAAAAGATAAGCCATTTTTAGAACACTGCATACAATTCTGGTCACTGTTCTATAGGAAGGATATTGTTAAACTTGAGACGGCGCAGAAAAGATTTACAAGGATTTTGCCAGGATTGTACAGTTTGAGTTAAAGGGAAAGGCTGAATAGGGCTGGGGCTTTTTTCCCTGGAGCATCGGTGGGGTGACCTTTTCGAGGTTTATAAAATCAGGAGGGGCATGGATAGGGAGAATAGTCATAGTCTTTTTTCCAGGGTAAGGGAGTCCAAAACTAGAGGGCATAGATTTAAGGTGAGAAGGGAAAGATTTAAAAAGGACCTGAGGGGCAACTTTTTCACGCAGAGGATGGTGAGTGTATGGTATGAAATTTTGCTGTAGGCTTACTTTTTTGCTATGCAGACCCTGGGGTCTGTGCGTGACAGAGGAATCCCTTCATGGGCACACTGACTGGAGTACATGGTGTTTCCCTACACAACTAGCTTAGAGGGACCATTGTCAATCAGACTAATGCACTTATAGAGTCATAGAGCCATCATTCAATACCGTGCCACAAAACAGCTGCTAGAGTTCATAGAATATGGATGCACGATTGGTTAAATGACAGGAAACAGAAAGTTCATTGTCAGTGGACATTTTCTATGCTCCAAACATTAACTCTGCTTTCTCTGCACAAGATGCTGCTGGTATTGCTGAGTTTCTCCAGTAATTTCGGTTTTTGTTTCAGATTTCCAGCATCTGCAGTTCTTTGATTTATTTTAGGTTTGTGTTTCTTTCAGCTTGCTTAAATGAGAGTGAGAGCTGCAGAGTGATTTTTTTTTAATTTCAAAAAAATGTGTTTTATTCATAAACAAAAATGCAGTCAGTAAAGTGGTTTGGTTCTGTACAGTAGCATCTGAAGAAACTAACAAACATTGGAGTTTGACTCTATGCAACAAACAAACCTAAGGCATTTCTTTCTTGTGCAAGACTATATTTACATACAACACAGGAACAAAAACGAAGTTGCTGGAAAAGCTCAGAAGGTCTTTTGGTCTTTATTTACCATATTTACATATATTTGAGGCACCGGGAGGGCCCAATAACTGAATGGACCCCCATTTAACTTCGGCAGAAAGACCTCAGATGGTGGTCTTTCCCTGCTGTGCCTTGGTGGTGAGCTTTAGAGCATCCTTCAGCACTTAGTCCTGGACCTTGTAATCTGCCATTCTGCAATGCTCGATGGGTGGGGTGGGGGGTGTGGGGGAGGGTGGTGGGTGTGGAAGGAGTGGGGGTTGGGGGTCAAATCCTTGTTCCGGAAAATCAACAAGTTTTGGGCAGACCAAAGAACACCTTTCAATGAATTAACTGTCCTCCAGGCGCAGTTGATGTTTATCTCTGTGTGTGTCTCAGGGAACAGACCGTAGAGCAGAGAGTCCTGCGATACAGAACTGCTCGGGACAAACCCCGACAAAAACCTCTGCATCTTTCTCCAGATTTCCTTTGCAAAGGCACATTCCAGAAGGAGATGTGTGACAGTCTCTACCCTCTGTAGCTGCTTCAAGGGCAGCGTGTGGTGGCACAGACCACCCAGGCATCCAAGAATGAGCTCACAGGTAGTGCCTTCTCACCACCAGCCAAGCGATGTCTTGGTGCTTGTTGGAAAGTTCTGGTGATGAGGCATTCTGCCAAATTACATTTACAGTCTGCTCAGGGAACCACGCGACAGGATCCATCTTCTCTGTGTTCTGCAGGGTCTCGAGGGCACCACGTGCTGACCACATCCCGATGGACTTGTGGTCAAAGGTGTTTTTATTTGCAAATAACTGACCATAACACCATTATACAGGGTGGCACGGTGGCACAGTGGCACAGTGGTTAGCACTGCTGCCTCACAGCGCCAGAGACTTGGGTTCAATTCCATCCTCAGGTGACAGTCTGTGTGGAGTTTGCACATTCTCCCTGTGTCTGCGTGAGTTCCTTCTGGGTGCTCTGGTTTCCTCCCACAGTCCAAAGATGTGCAAGCTAGGTGCATTGGCCATGCCTGTAGTGTTCAGGGATGTGTAGATTAGGTGGGTTATAGGGGGATGCGTTTGGGTGGGTGCTCTGAGGGTCGGTGTGGACTTGTTGGGCCGAAGGGCTTGTTTCCACACTGTAGGGATTCTATGGTTATTATACAGGAAGTGATTCAGGACGGGATAGAAAAAAGGAATGTAGTGGTAGGAGGGTGAGGGGGATTGACATTGTTCTCTGTAGTAATGAACAAGAGACCAGGAGGCTGTATGGCCTGCCCAGTGCCAGATTACAAGATATCTGTTTCAAGCTGGAGAGGAATGTAGTGGAAAGGGAATGATCCGGTCAACATGATTTATGTTCTGAAGTCAAACAGAGCCTATAGGTGACCTGAAATTGTACAACAAGATAAGATTAATTAACAGAGATAGTAGGAACTGCAGATGCTGGAGAATCTGAGATAACAAGATGTAGAGCTGGATGAACACAGCAGGCCAAGCAGCATCAGAGGAGCAGGAAGGCTGACGTTTCAGGCCTAGACCCTTCTTGCAGTGAAGGTGCTGCTAGATACCAGTAACCATGACATGATGAATTTCAAATTCAGATTGAAGGAGAGAAGAGTGGGTCAAAGACTAGTATTTTAAACTTAAATAAAGGCTGTTATAATAACATGAAATTAGAGCTTGCTAAAGCAAACAATAAGGCAAATCACATTAAGGAATACATCTATAGAAATGCAGTGGTAGACATTTAGGAGGATATATTGAAATACACAAACTAGATAGATTGCAATGAAAGAGAAAAAAATCCAAGGGAAGGACCCATCATCTGTGGTAAACTAAAAACTTTATAGATAGCATCAAGCTTAAAAAAAACAAATATTTTCTACCATTTCTTCAAAAAGTTCCAGCAATTTCATTAAACATGATTTCCCTCTTAGAAATTCATGCAACGTCTTCCTAATCAACTCACCCTCTTCCATGTGGCTGTTAATCCTATTCCAAATAATTGATTCTACCCTTCAATTTCCTTAGTAATTCAAATCTCCATCTTGACCTTACTTAATCAGCGAGCTCCCACAGACCTCTGGAGTAGGGAATTCCAAAGATCCAGCACCCTCTGACTGAACAATTTACTCCTTATCTCAGTCCTAAGTGGCTTGTCTTTTATTCTGAGATCACCCACTGGTTTTAGATCCTATAGCCAGGGGAACCATCCTTTCTGCATTTGCTCCATTAAACCCTTGAGAACATTATAAGTTTCTATGAGAGTGCCTTCTATTCTTCTTGGTCGCTTGGTCCATTCAGATCCCTCGCATTCTCAGTAACCTCCCAGGCCAAATTCTTTAAAACATAAACATGTATGAAAAGGTGTAACAGCAGATGGCACTTGCTGCACAGCTACTGCTACATCAGGGCCATTAATTCGCTTGATGTATCCCAGATTGGAACTCATGACCTTCCTAGCTCTTTTCCTAACTGTCCTCCTCGAGCAAGGAATAAAATTTATGTGGCCAATGTCAGTTTAGGGACAATAAACTCAATCACAGTGGAGTGGAGTCATTATCTTTGAGTTTATATGAACACTATCATTGGTGTGATAAAACCCAGGTCACAGATATACAAACAGCCTCTTTTACACCTTGTTATCTCAGATTCTCCAGCATTGGCAGTTCCTACTATCTCTGCCTCTTTTGCATTGTTGCTGTCGTCTGGGATTACCTCATCCCTAATGTAGTTACACTTGAATTTCCAGTTGTTGCTCCTGCACTCCATTGTGACTATGGTTGGGGTGGGGATGGGGGGCATGGAATATACAAATTCACTTCTGAATGTGTTAACGTGCTGGGTTCCAAACTGAGCCCCACCCCACCGATCTGCTTGCTCAGGGAGCTGTAAATGACGCTATGGCACTGTTTTGAAGAAGGTAAGGGAATTCTCCCCCAGTTTCCTGCCCATTATTTATCTCTTCAGTCTACGTCTGCAAACAGACAATCTGGTCATTATAGGATTGCTGTTTATGGGAACTTGCTGTGCGTATGTTGGCTGCCACATTTTCAACATCACAACAGTGATACTTCAGAGATAGTAGGAACTGCAGATGCTGGAGAATCCGAGACAACAAGATGCAGGGCTGGATGAACACAGCAGGCCAAGCAGCATCATAGGAGCAGAGAGGCTGACGTTTCAGGCCTAGACCCTTCATCAGAAAAGGGGAAGGGGAAGGGGGTTCTGAAATAAATAGGGAGAGAGTGGGAGGCGGAT